AATGAATATAAACAGCTAAATGTCTACATATGATGGTTGGATCATATGGTAGGTGTATATTTGACTTTTAAGAGACTGGAACTTTTCTTGTGCTTTACTATTAATCACATCTAGCAGCAATATGTAAATGCCCCACAGTCTTGTCAACATTTAGTATGATGCAGTCTGTTTTTATTTTAGCTGTTCTAGCAAGAGTATTCTAGTAGTTTATTGTGGGTTTGACCTGCATTTCCTTAATGACTAATGTTGAAATTCTTTCTGTATATCTTGGATGGAGTATCTCTTCATTTCTGTTGACTATTTTTTTTTGGTCTTTTTGAGACAGGGTCTCCCTGTAGCCCCAGCTGACCTTGAACTCACTATGTAGACCAGCCTGGCCACCAGGTGGCCACAGAGATCCGCCTGCCTCTGCCTCCACGCCACCATGCCCAGCTTTCTGTTGACTTTTTAAATAGGGTTGCTTGTAATCCCAGCATTTGGAGCCTGAGGCTGCAGGATTTCCATGAATTCAAGGTTGGCCTGGGCCACATAGTGAGTTCTGGGCAATTACTGAGGCATTACTGAGAGCTAGTCTCAAAAAACATAAACAAAACCAATATATATTAATAATTTTATTACTCTATATCATCACTATTTTGTATATTCATTGTTAAATTGAAACTATACATATCCTTATTATTTCTGAATCCCCTGCAAGTCAACATAGGCTTCACCAGTAAAAAATTCTCAGTGTATGTGTGTTTATGTAAATGTGATGTGTTTTAAATCCTAGCATTCATGACTTTTCATGATGGAGATGCATAGTCATCCAAAATAGGCTTATGATTTTGGCATCCTTTCAAACCAATCATCTTCAGTTTTTTTTCTTACCACATTGTGCTGGATGGCTTTAGTTAACTTGTCACACCTAGTTAGAAGGTACCTCAACTGAAGAATTTTCTTTATTAGATTGGCCTGTGGCCAAGTCTGTGGGGCATTTTCCTGATTGTTGAGTGATACGGGAGATCCCAGCCCACTGTGGGTGGTGCCACCCTGGGCAGGTGCCCTGTATTGTATAAGAAAGCAGGCTGAGTACAGGCCAGGGGAGCAAGCCAGTAAGCAGCTTCTCCATGTTCTGTGTTCCAAATTCCTGCCTTGGCTTCCCTTGATGATGAACTGTGCTTGTAAGCTAAATAAACCCTTTCCTCCCCAGGTTGGTTGTGCTTAGTGTTTTATCACAGAGATAAAAAAAAGAAACTAAGGCACACATTTATTTGGAGAGAGTGACTATTGTATTAGAAGTGCAGGAAAAGGATTCCTTGACAGAAAACCGATGGTATCATCTGCTTAAATGAGAAATTGTTTTAATGAAGGGACTATTTGCAGTGATGGTGGCAGGATTAAGGAGAATAAAGAAGGTAAAATGCACAGGCATCAGCAATAGGTTAGAGTCATTATAACATATTGCTGCTTGAAGGTAACATCTACTTACCTGAAAGGACACAGGGAAGATGTGGAGTCCAGACCTAAGAGTAGAGCCATATTAGGAACTCCCAATAGCAGCCAACGTCACAACTGTGCCAAAGGGGGCGGGGGGCGACGACAAAGTAAAGTACCTTAACCTTGAGTTTATGATCTTCCTGCCTTCACCTCCTGAGTGCTGGAATTACAGATGTGCATCTGCACACCTGGCTTATGCAGTGCTGAGGATGGAACCCAGGGCTTTATACACACTAGGTAAGTACTCCACCAACGCAATTACTTCGTAGCCCTGGGTTGTTTTTAATAATTGCTCTAAATGGTGCTTTGCAATCTGCATCAGTTTTGATGAGATTGAAGGGCCAAACTAACAATTTGTCATTGGGTTTCATTTAACAAAGTTAATATTTGATTATCAAATACACATTCAATGGTAACTGTTCTTTTAGAAACAGTTTCTGTGTCATTGTCTTAATTTCTTACCCTATATACAATGATTTAATTTTATACTGTTTTTAAGGAACAACATTTTCAAAGCTCCAGATTTTGATTATGTTTCTAATAATCTGAAAGTATATATTAGGAGCACATTTGAATAAAAATGGTTCTGTTCTTTTTCGTATTTACTGGTGTTCCTAAAATTTTTGCATTTTTTTCTTAGATTGTCCTCTTATTCAAACCTGTTTACAAGAAACGACAATGATGACACTTAAACATTATACTGAGACTTACTGGAGTTCATGAAAAGTATAGAACCAATTAATTAGATAATGGTTAGTAGGGGCTGAATTGTAGTGACTGTATTAGTCAATTTTCCATTACTGTAACAAATACGTGAGGGAAGTAAATTCAAAAGGAGCAAAGCTTGTTTGGTGCAGAGTTTCAGAGGTCTCAGTTCATGGTATGCGGGATCTGTGAGGAGACAGAGCACAATGGTGCTCATTTTGTTGTGGCTTTGGAAGCAGAGAGGAGGAGGCTAGGGTTCCAATATTTTCTTTAAGGGTATGCTTCCCAGCAATCTAGCTTCCTCTGAGGAGGCTCCACTAACTAAAGGTTCTACCTCTCCTAATGGCACCCAGACCAGTGGTAAGACCTAATCACATGGCCTTTTGTGGGACATTTGACATCCAAATTGTAACTGTGAGAAAGCATTCCTGAGACCAGAATAACCCTGTTTCCATGATGTACCATTCATAGTAATAAAGGGGTACCAAAAAGCTTCCATACCTTAACATGGTCAATCCTTACTTTAGCCTCCGTTTTCTCATCTTCTCCTGAAACACACATTTAGAGGAATGATATAATTCTGAACTGGTAGCAGATCTCTCAGACTTATGCTAGTCCCCCAGTATATTGAATATTGCTTCAGTTTGGATATAACTCAAGAATGTCATGCAAAGGATCTTGCATTTGAAGCTTAGTTACCAGTGTGGCAATTCTGAGCAAACATTCAAGATGTGGTCTCATAGGCAATAATTAATTAGGTTATGGGAAGAGATAAATACCAATCTCTTGGGGTGGATTAGCTCCCATAATAGTTGGTTGCTGTAAAGGAGTGAGCCTGATCTCTGGTTCTCCTTGGACTTTTGTCTCACCATGTGAATTCTTCCACACATGCTTCCATCCTTGTGATGTCATCTCCATGAGGACCTCCCTGCAGGCCTGTATTAGTTACTCTTCTGTTGCTGTGATAGAAACACCATGACCAAGGGAACTTATAAAAGGACGAGTTTATTTGCACTTACAGTTACAAAGGGGTAAGAGTTAGTCCATCAAGATGGGGAGGCATGGGGCAGCAGAGGTAGCTGGAAGAGGAGCAGAAGCTAAGCTCTTAGATATTCAAGCAGGCACAGGAAACAGAGGGTGAATCTAGATTTGACAAGGCTTAAGAACTCTCCTCCCCCAGTGATGTGCTTCCTCCAGCCATACCTTCTAAGACCCCCCAAAACAGCACCTCCCACTGGGGACAAAAATGTCCAAATACTTGGGGTTTATGGAGGTCATTCTCATTCAAATCACCACAAGGCCAAATAGGTACAACTGCCTGATCATGAAACTTAAGCTCCAAAACTGAATTAAATAAATGGTATTTCTTTATAAAGCAGCCATCCTCAAGTATTTTGATATTACAACAGAAAATGGACTAACACAAACCTGTTAGGATTACATTTTAATTGGAAAATCTCAGATTAGGTGTATTGCTAGCTAGCTTCAGTTGAATCTAAGGATTCTGGGTTACAAAGTACATTAGAGTGAGAGTTAATAGGCCTGCATTTTAATTTTAACTTTGGTATCTGTGCTGGTTATGTCAACTTGACACAACCTAGAACAGCTGGTAAGAGGGTCTTATTAGGAGTTACCTAGATCAAGCTGGCCTGTGGGCAATCTGGAGAGGACCGTCTTGATCTTTATTTGATATAGGAAGACAGCCCATTGTGGGCAGCACCGTTTCCTAGGCAGGGGGTCCTGAATAGTACTGAGAAGAGAAAGCTACCAAGCAAGGATCCATGTGTTTATTCTGCTCTTGACCTGGATGAGATGCTTTAAGTTCCTGCCTTGACTTCCCCACAATAATGGACTGCAGCCTGATTGTAAGCCGAATTAACACCCACTCCCCACCATGTTGCCTTTTATCACAGTAACAGAAAAGTACCCAGAGTACCCAGAGTACCCATGAGCTGGGTGCATCGCTTCAGCTTTCAGTCATCTGTTCAGTTAATCTTGCCTATGTATCAGAAACCAATCTGCTAGGTACTGCTTTGAGAGCTGGAGAAACATTACTCCTGCCTTCAAGTTGTTTACTACATAATAGGAACAGTGAGGCAGCAATTAGACAATGAATACAGGAGAAAATGAATAAACGGTATTTTTTTTTTTGTCTTTTTTGAGACAGGGTCTCCTTGTAGCCCCAGCTGTCCTGGAACTCACTATGCAGACTAGGCTGGCCTCGAACTCACAAAAGATCCACCTGCCTCTGCCTCCCAAGTGCTGGGACTAAAGGTGTGTGCCACCACGCTGGGCATAAACAGTAATTTTTCACAGTTAAGAGCAGTAGAGTAGATGTGGTGAGATGGTATGCTTCCTTAGCCAGGGTGTCTGAGATTTGTCTAGGCACCAGGAGCACGAAGGGTAGAAGTGGGTGCTAAGGGTTCCTCCCCTATTAATTGTGCCCACCTATGCCTGCAATCTGGAAATAAGTGCAAACATACTTACATCAATTTTACGTTGTTTAGTTTGGAAAGGAATTCAAGTAAGAAGCAGCAGCGGAGCATTTTAGGTTCCTTTGGGGAGTAACTGCTGGACATTAAGGAAGAAAAACCTAATTTGAAAAAAAGGCCAGGGAGAGATAAGAGACAAGGTGTGCCGGTCTCCGAGTTACAACTCTGTACTAAGTCATATCAGGGCACGGAAAGAAAACCTGGTCAGTCTTTGCTTCCTCCCTGGGAGCTCAGGTCCAGGTGGTGGCTGCACTTGACAGCTTTGGGAGCTGCGGCTCAGAGGCGGGGAGGAGCTGGAGGCGGGGCTGCGGGAGGCAGCCACCTCAGCAGGGCAGCAGGATTTCCGGAAGAAAGCTGCTCCTGCTGCAAAACCTTGTGATCCTCTCAGGAGCTCTGCTTCGTCGCTGGAAACTGCAGAAGGATCTAGCGAAATATGGCTACGGAGGGTCCTGCCACGCGACGAGTCCAGGTGGCAGAGCATCCCAGGTGGGGGAGAGGAGATGCCTGGGGTTCCTGGGCTAGCGAGGTGCACACAGGGCTGGCGGCTGCTTCCTGGAAGCTGTTTTTTGTTCCTAGAGGCAGACAAAATCCTTGGGGTTCTAGAAGTCCCGTGACATGGCTTGCAAGAAAGCCAAGCCTCAGATACTCCGCCAGACTCTGCCAGGGGTTGTGTGCATTGCTTCATCCACGCAGGCCCTTCCTTCTTTCTTGCTTAAGAAGGCAGTAAAAGCCGGTGTGGTGGTGCATGCCTTTAATCCTAGCACTCGGGAGGCAGAGGCAGGCGGACCTCTGTGACTTCAAGGCCAGCCTGGTCTACATAGCGAGTTCCAGGCCAGCTGGGGCTACAGGGAGACCCTGTCTCAAAAAAGACCCCCCCCCCCAAAAAAAAAAGTCAGTAAAAATGACCAAATCAGCTTTTGAATTGCTCTTTATCCTCCCTGGCAATTGGCACTGCTTTCCAGAAACTCTAAGTATTCACTGAAGCAACCAAAACCTTTTCCTGGGTCTCTGCGTGAATCTCTGAACTGTCATTAAGGAATTAATTTGTTGCCAAATTTTAGCTACCCGGAGTCACCTCCAGTTCAGTGACGTCTGTTGGAAGGTCGTTTTAATTACACATACTTTGTAGAAATACTTGATTCTGGTTTGTAGGACTGAAATCTCATGGAAGTCTCTCACCTGCAGTTATAGCCCAGGGCTTCTCTCAAGTTGACTCTGTGCGCCCCTTTGGCTGCTTTTAAGGTTAACTTTCTTGTTCTAACCCCCACCTCCACCCCACTTAGTCTTTAAATTGGGCCCCATTCCCTGTTTGTCACTGTTGGGTGTTGATTGGTGGTTGTGCTTCCCTGTGACTTTGAAAGGGCTCTTTTCAAAGTCACAAACAATGTCTTTAGTTTCTGGGAAGAAACAAGTTTACTGTAGAGATCAGCAGAGTTAGGGACTATGTCTGAATGTTGCTGAGTGTTTTAGTTCTCTGAGGGTCGTTGCATGGTACAGCTGCCCTTATGTATTTAAGTGAATGAGGGCACATTGTGAAAGACATGCTTCAAATGAGAGGGGGAATCTGAAAATAAATCCAAGCCCAGCAGTTTAGTTTTTCTGTTGTCTATGTATATACTTCAAATGTTTCCATTTCATTGTTTAGTCATAAAGATCAGTTTCTCTAGATGCCCTGTAAGATGCTGCTAGTAAGTTCAGGACCATTGCTAAAAGGGAAGAATTGCTTACCAGATTTCTGTAGTGTTCTTTTGTGCCTGTCACAGTTTTTATAGTATTTACTCATGTAATAAATATTTAGTGTTAATTGATCTGTGTTAGCCACAGAAAAGTTTTAGCAGTCATATAAGCTCTGCTGTTCTGCTGGTTCTTAATTGTTTTGAGATAGGGTTTCATGTAGTGCAGGCTGGCCTCCAACTCACTGTGTAGCTGAGGATGTCACTGAACTCTTGATCCTCCTGCTTTCATATTCCAAGTGCTGGGATTGCTTGTGGGCACCATCATGTTCAACACTTTTGTGTGTGTGTGGGGGTCACTTGTGCATGCACTGCAGTTACTAGCTTCAGGGAGGCAATGTTCTGTAGGAATATTTTTGAAGCACCGTATTCATTTTAGAAAGGGCGAGTTTTATTAAATCTAGGTAGTGTAATCTAGATTACTTGGTGCAGTGGTCACATGGTGCAATTCATTGGAGCCCCCAAGGCAAACCTGTCTCCTTGAAGAACTGATCACTGTTCAGGATAACCTTCAGCTCCCAGGGAAACCAGGTCCTCTGAGTAAAAACACCAGGCCACCACATTATGTTTTAGTAAACTAACTTCTTTTTTTATAAAAATCAAATTTTAGAGGTCTGTAGATGTAGCTCAGTGGAAGAGCACCTGCCTAGCATGCACCCCCCTCTCCGGGTTTAATTCTCAGCACTAAAGAAAGTCAAAGAAGTATAAAAATGTTAATGCTTTCTTCCTGCATCTTCCTCATGTTTGCTGTCTGAATGAAAGACCAGATCCACTGTTACAGCTTTCTTTGTATCCTCAGCAGTGATATCTCTTTTTCTTTTCTTTAGGAGTAAGTTTTAAATTGGTAGCGGCCAGGCATGGGTTGCAGGCCTATAATTCCAGTACTTGAGCTAGGAGGATCACAAATTGAAGGCCAGCCTGAACTGTGTGAGAACCTGTTCCAAAATACAAGAGTGTGGGATGTAGCTTGGTTGGTCGAGTGCTTGCCTGGCATGTAGGAAGCCCTGGGCTTGACTCTGAGGACTGTGTAAACTTGGTGTAGTGGTGCATGCCTGTAATCCCAGCCCGTGGGAGGTGGAGACAGGAGAATCAGAAGTTCAAGGTCATTCTTGGATACTGAGTTGGAGAACAGCCTGAGCTACAATGGGACCTTGCCTAAAAAGCCCTACAAACAAACAAAAATTGTTAGGGTATTACTTCTTGTAGCAACTTTACTGATTTCACATATCATGTAATTCACCTACTTAAAGTTGCCAATTAAGGGCTGATGAGATGGCTTAAGGGTTAAAAACGCTTCCATGCATGTCTGACAACATGAGATTGATATCCCGAACCAACCCACCCAAGGTGGAGGGAGAGAGCTGACCCCTGAAAGCTGTCTTCTGCCTTCCACACATGTGCTGTAACATATGTGTGCCCACACTCACACACATCAAACACACACATGCACACACTAATAAGTGAAAATTTATTTGTTTCGTTTTTTGTTTTTGTCTTTTTGAGACAGGGTCTCCCTGTAGCCCCAGCTGTCCTGGAACTCACTATGTAGACCAGCTGGCCTTGAACTCACAGAGATCTGTCTGCCTCTGCCTCCCCGAGTGCTGGGATTAAAGGTGTGCACCACCACGCCCGGCTATAAGTGAAAATTTAAAAAGTGTGCAATTAAGTAGTTTTTAGTATTACCCAGAGTTGTGCAGCCAAATTTAGATTTTCTTCACATGAAAAAACTTACTACCCCTTGAATAAAATTTCACCTCTCTCTACTCTGAGCAACTACTATTTCTTTCTTATTCTATAGATTTGATTGTTTCAGACATTTCAAATAAATGCAATCATAAAATATGTGTTTTTTCTCTGTGTATGTGTGATTGGCTCTTTTTAACAGCGTGTTTTCAAGATTTAGTCATATTACGTATCAGTAATCAATAGCATTCTATTGCATGGATCCAGGGCGTTTTGTGTATCAGTTAGTGGACTTTTGGGTTGGTTCTACTTTTTGTCTCTTACGAATAATGCTGTTGTATGATGATGCTTTGAACAGACTTTTGTTTTGCCAGCTCAGCTACCTGGGTGACCTGGAATATTTAAAGGAATATCCAATAAAGCTTAAAATTCCCATAGCTTCTTTTTAAACTCTTGTCTTCGACTTATACCCAGTGTTGACTGATCCTGCTTTTCTTCATTTCATACATACATATGGTGTATGTTGATTGATAGGTAGAGATGTTGGAGAGAGCGAGTGGGTGGTGGAGAGCACAAGCGGATGGATGAGGCACCGAGGCACAGATGGAATTCTCAGCGGGATACAGATTTATTTCGCACAGGGCACCTTTCCCTGGGGAAGGGAAAGATGTCAGGGAAAGATGTCCGCCCACGGGTTGTGAGCTGGGACTTTATATATGGGGGCTTTAGGGTGTGGAAGGGGGGAATGTTTGGGGGAGAAATCGGGAGGGGGGAAGCAGGAAAAGCCTGGCTCCGTTCAGTCTGCCAGGTGGGATTAGGGTCTGGAAGTGTTTACTTTTTCTCTCTTAAGAGAAAAGCTGTTATGATAAACAACTTCTAAAATCTCTGGTTAACAGGTAGAATCTGCTTATCTATCTTTGGAGGTCAGAGGAAAGGCAGGCTGCTTCTCAGCAGTTTGTTTCCCTTGACTTGAAAGGTCAAGGTGAGGTCCCTGTTGGGCAGGGGGGAAACTGCTGCTATTTGGAACCCTAACATTGATAATATTCACCCCTATTTGTCCCAGCTCCTTCCAGATCTGCCCCCCACCCCCACCCCCTCTCAAGTTCATGTTTTTAGTAATAT